TCTATGTCATAGACCCATGCTGTTGGAAAATGACCATGACTTTCCAAATTGCCCGCCCCCTCTTTGTGATCATGCTCAAGCAACAGAATCCACAGAATTCAGGCAAGCAGTTGTGGGACCATGCTTTGAACTTCAAGCACAAAAGACAGACGACTGGGAAATCTGTGAGGCACATGTGGTAACTTCCTCAACACCCCAGCTTAATCCCCTCCCCCTAATACTAAAGCCCCCGCCCCCGCTAGTATTAGATACTCACAATATACTATAATATAACACAATGTGGAGTATTTAAGAGGATTATTGATTCATGGGACGCCGCTACGGCGCTCTGAGCTTCTACTGCACAATGACTGACTACATCTGTGCCTTTTTTCTACTGCTGCTATGAAGTTTTTGGGAGACCCTACCCTACCATAAGGATTATAGCTGTAGTTCTAGCAGCCTAGCATTTTGGATTCTATATTGGGGCCCCCGGAATCTCCAAGATCAACAACCCTCCACGAGCATAACCCTGAATGTTTTAGGTTGTCCCTAAACCCTAAACCCTAAACCCTAGTATGTCTCCTCCCAGCTCTCATTGGCGGGGTCCAACCAGCTTGTCTGCCCCTCAACACCTCAGAGACTGAAAGCTCGGTTCAAATCTACACGGTTTAGGGTCTAGGTTTTAGGGTTTAGGGTTTAGGGTTTAGGGTTTGGGGTTTGGGGTTTGGGGAAACTTCTGGAATCATGGGCAAAGGAAGATAGGGGTAACATAGGGATAACGGGAAAGAAAATGGAAACTACTATACTAATTTGAGACCTCTGGATTTCCTGGAGTTCAAGCCTCTTCTCTCTCCCTTATCTCCAAAAGGGGGGTTGCAGAGAAAAGCAGTACCATTCTCCGTTGTCTGCTGATCTTCTGGGGCACAGGGAACCTATGACTCCATGTGATCAAGTTGTGGCGGTAGTCATGCACGTGCAGGCTGCCCAGTTGCCAGGGCCCAGGTGGCCTTCATCTTGAAAAGGTGGGAATATAATGTGCCAAACTCCAACCCCAACTCTTACTCCCCAAGCTCCAAACAGAGCCATTCATCTAACTGGACCTTAGCAAGATATCTCCCAGTCTCTGGCCATCAGAGTTGCTGTACAGATGCAGCTATCCATTCCGCCATGGTTGCCTAGATCTTGATAAGGTAGTCTCCCCGAAATGGCGGGACCCCAATTTTTATTCCAAAACACTATAACCCTTGTTTTACGGACCCCCAAAATGCTACCCCTAAT